GATAGGAGAGATATGATCTCTCTTTTTCATTTTCATCAGAACTCTGGCTGCAGCATTTTGGATCAGCCGATTTACATGTTTATTCTCCTAAATTTACTACATTTTGCATGTTTTTTTATTGTATATTCACCTATTTATTCTCAAACATTTGATTCTTATATCCTTTTAAATTTGCATGTTTATAATCCCAGAATTTTAAATGTGTATTCTCATAAATGTGCTACATGTTCTTCTAAAGTTGCATGTTTATTCTCATAAATAAACAGAACAGAAAATAAACCCCAAAAATCACAAAAAAATTACTTTTCGTCTCAGAATCAATATTATTTCATTTATTTTATTTATTAGAACTTTCTTTTCTCAGTCCGAGTATTTATTAAAGACCTCCGGAACTTTTATTGCCTTGTTTCTCAACGACGGCTTAAACCGTGGCACACGCCTCCATCGAAAGGGACGTAAAAGTAGCACTTCCGCTATTTCTCTTCAAAATAAGAGCTCGCTGACTGTTGTGCCGTTCTTTTTGGATCCATTTGTCGCCATTCAGGAGAGAAAACATCTGAACAACATCTGGTTCAATTTTTAAATCATCTGCAGAGAGAAGATCGAGGAGGGACCGCCAGGATGGAGGACTAATACCCAACATTTATCACTTAATATTTAACTTCCGGTCGCCCGCGCCCCCTGACGCACGTGGTGTGGAGTCTGAGCTGGATCTCAGAACCAGAAGGAGCAGAGAGAAGGCGGCCAGGCTGCAGTAGAGAAGAAGAAGCAGAGCTGCAGGTGTCAGCATGGTGGGGAAGGTCAAACATGTCCGCCATAAGCTCCACCAGCAGGCGGTGAAGCTCCACAGCCTCCCTCAGCCCGGCGGGACCGAGCTGACCGCCAGCCCGCTGCAGACCGCCAGCCCGCTACAGACCGCCAGCCCGCTGCAGACCGCCAGCCCGCAACAGACCTCCAGGGAGGAGGGACAGGTGAGGAAGTCATCAGGTGTTTAAGTGACGGAGGAGATTCACCGGCTGTGGCAGCCATAGGTATTATAAGCGCTGACGCCTCATTGGACGCTGGCTGACGTACCTAGAGGGCGGCCATCTTGGGTCAGACCAGCTGAATAAACAGGAGGAGGCGCCTTAGGTCTGATTTTAATCACAGGAAAGAGTCAGAAATAATATTAGAACCTCTGACATTTCACAACTACGACTGTATTAGGGCCTGGATAGAGATCTTTATTTATTTTTCTATTCGAGAATAAAGACGTAACATTAGGAAAATAAATTTATGAGAATAAACCGGAGATATTACGTGAATAACGTCTTAAATCACAAAAATAAACTTGTAATTTTACGACAATAAAGCCGTAATATTACAAAAATAAAGTTGTGATATTATTATGAGAATAAATTCGTGATTTATGAAAAATAAAGTCGCAATATTGAGACCATAAAGTCATAATATTATGAAAATAAAGTTGTAATATTAAGACAATAAAGTCGTAATATTATGAAAATAAAGTCTTAATATTAAGACAATGAAGTCGTAATATTAAGGCAACAAAGTCGTAATATTATGAAAATAAAGTCGTAATATTATGACAATGAAGTCGTAATATTAAGGCAACAAAGTCGTAATATTATGAAAATAAAGTCGTAATATTATGACAAT